AGCCCAGAGCTGGCGGAAGTGGGGGGTGCGGCTGTCCAAGGGTGACACTAGCTACACCCTGCTCAGCCGCGGCGCAGGCTGGGACCAAGCCCCAGGAGAGCATGGAACAAAAGCCAGACCCCAGGGTTGGAAAGAGGAGCAGAGAGGTGCCAGGGAGCGGGCCTAGTGAGTTACTCCCAATGGGGCAGCCCGGTTAGGATCCACACAGTGCTCACTTATCCCCCGCCCAGCCAACCAGGCAGGCCATGTACACTAGCAGCCCCTGTGCTCTAGGGGCAATGCAGCTCCCGGAGCCGAGGGTCTCTTCCCCCTCCCGCACTCTGCACTGCAGTGGGCCTGGGGGAGGGCGCATGCTCTCTGCACCTCCCGCTCTCGCGGGCTTTCCCTGGCTCTGCGGGCACCTCGCGCCCCTGACCAACGAGCTCCTACCCCCGCTCTGCGAATGCTCCGCCTGCTTTCCGGGCTCGGGACCCAGGAACACAAGGCAGACTCACCTCTCCCTTCCTCCGAGTAGCTGTCTGCCTCCTCCGAGGACGATGCTGCGGGTGCCAAGAAAGCAAACGTGGGGTGAGCCGACACCCTGACATGTCTCTGCGGGCACCTCGCGCCCCTGACCAACGAGCTCCTACCCCCGCTCTGCGAATGCTCCGCCTGCTTTCCGGGCTCGGGACCCAGGAACACAAGGCAGACTCACCTCTCCCTTCCTCCGAGTAGCTGTCTGCCTCCTCCGAGGACGATGCTGCGGGTGCCAAGAAAGCAAACGTGGGGTGAGCCGACACCCTGACATGTCTGACCCTCGCCTTGAGCCTAGCCGCCTCCCGTTGTCAGCTGGGATCCAGGCCTCATTGCAGGATCAGGGCAGGAGAAATGGGTGCGTCCCCCAAGGAGCGCCGGACATGCTAAGCCGGCTCTGAGCTGGGACCCGTCCACACCAGCCCCCAGAAGGCATGAAACGCCGAGCAGCTGTACAGCTCTCCCTGCAGCCCTGCAGTAGTGCATAGGCCTGGCGCTGGCTGGCTGCACAGTGACCCCTCCACACCCCCCTCTGCCCCACCCTATGGATGTCCCAAGAACCACATACAAGCAGGGCCCCTAAGCCCCATGGGGCCAAACAGCTCCAGAGCCTCGGTTCGGCAGGGAACTCGGTTGACACCAAGTGCTGTGGACGCAGGGTGAGGGTGGAGGCAGAGAGCGACCCCCTACACAGATTCTCGGGGGTGCTTGTGTATTTTTGCTGCCGGCTGTCGTTACATTGGGCAACGGGGCAGCGACTTCCAGCCCTGGGGGACAACGGTGCCGCAGCCGGCAGCTGAGCTGTGCGCCACCAGGAACTCACTTGGCCTTGGCTGCCTGTAGCCAGCACAGCTGGTCTTGGGTCTCTTCTGACTGTACTTAGCACAGAGCTGGGGGCTCCCCGCCAGCCGGCAGCACCAGGCCTGGAACTTCAACTCTGGATCTGGCGATGGAAGTAACGACGCAGGGTTACAAACCAAACAGCTACAACCCTCTGCCATGAAACGGGGCAGGAGCTGCCCTGGGAGTCCCCGCAAAAAAGCCCCATTTCTTTCAGTGGGAGTCCCTGCTCCTCCTTTAGCCGCCACGCTGACGGAAACAGCTTTGCAGAGAGGTGCAACCGGCTCACGCCGTGTAGAGGCCAATGCAGAACCTGCCCTGTGATTTCCCTGCGGGCCCCGATCCTGCCCTGTTTGCCCACCTCCCCCTCCCCTGAGTGCCAAGAGGGGGCTTTCGCTAGCCAAGCACCAAGCGGTTGCTGAGTGTAGAGCTGGGACCGGCTATTCGGAGCCAGGCACACACAGGATTCTAATGAGCAGGGTGGGACATGAGTAATATGTCGATCCCGCAGCAAAAACTGGCTTGTCCGTCTCGCTTGGCGCCCCCCAGCTACGGACGGGTTCAGAATTGCACTGGCCAGGCGCCCCGGCCTCGCCACTGCTCGGCTAGTCAAAGAACACGGAGGCAAGGCCGGCCCGCCTGGCAGGGGTGTTGGCAGCCACCCCTCCCCAGACCCTCTTACCACGGTAGGAGGCCACGTGACGCCAGGCCTTCCAGGATCTCTCCTGCCGCCCGTCGACGAGCTCATTCCGGCTGTTGTAGAGACAGCGGACCCCGGCGCCGTACCGGTTGGGGGAGACTGGATACAGCAGGGTCACCTGGGCGTCCGCCAAGCCTGCAAGAACCCGCCGGTCGCATGGCAGCGTTCAGCATGGAGCCGCGCCGCGCCAAAGGCTTCCCCTTCAGTGCGGCCTGCGCCAAAGCCCAGTGCAGCCCTTGATTTCGGAGGGCGTTGGCTTGGGATCTTAGCCACCCAGGGATCACGCAGCGCCTCCCAGCCCCGAGCTCACACGCGCTTGTGTCGGGCTTTCTTCTCCAGCCCACTGTGCATGGGCCCCCTGCTACGGGGGTCCTCGCCTGCAGGCGACCCTCCAGCCTGAAGCAAATCCTGTCCAGCAGCCGCACCTCACACCCCGTGTCTGTCTGGGTAGGCAAAGCCTTCCCCTGCCTTCATTGCCCGCCACCCAGGCCGCTAGCCCCTCACGCCCAGCGCAGGGAGGCTCCGGCAGGCTAGAGCCAAGCTCGCTGCACGCAAACGGAAAGGGACCCCCCCACGGCGAGGACTCGCCCTGCCGGGCCCTGCCATGGTCAGCACACAGCACCTCCTCTGCTCCGTCGGTAGCGCGGCTCCGATGCTGCTGGGGGCAAGGAGCAAGGGCACGAGGGCAGGTCCTTGTTCCAGCCAGCTGGATCCTGCTGCGTGCTCAGCCAGGCCAGGCACTGCACTCGGTAGTTCACGCGCTCTTGGCTAGCTAGGCCGTACAGCCACAGCCCGCGCAGATCTAGGGCAGAAACGGTCAACAGGTTTGGCCTTCCCCTGAGCCAACAGCGACGGGCCAAGGCAGAGGGGTGACTGGGCGGTAGGGCACCCTTTACCGCACCGGGGACAAGCTGGGGAGATTTTCTGACATTAAATGGGAATCCGGGCCAGTGTTCCCTGTAAGCTGAGCTCTCGGGGAAATTCCAGTGCTGATTAGCAGAGCATCTACTGCCTGATTAGCAGAGCGCCCATCGCTGGCAGCATGGGTTTCTATTGGTGGTGCACATCCACACATGCCTCGGTGCACAGAATAACATTTATTCCGCACATGGGTGGAAAACATTAGAGGGTCCACTGACCCGGGCGTGCCTGGTTACCCAGCCAGCTCCATGAACTCCCACTCCATCTGAAAGCAGCAGAGAGGTAGCATCCAACTCTCGCCCAGCGTTACGGGAAAGGACCCAACCCATCCGCACAGACTGGAGCCCGGGGGTAGGGGGTGGCCATTTCTAGCTTTTTTTCATTGAAAAATGGAGGGGGGGTGATGCAGTGACATTTTGTGGAACGTGGCAGCGCTCGTTGGCAAGCCTCAGGAGTGGAATTGTCTGTTTTCAGGGCTTTTAACAGCTGACCCCGAAACAATGTGAGTGGAACCTTCCCACCCTTCACTTCCTGCTCATCTTTCCTGGTGAAACTCCCGTGGTACCGGTGCCCGATTCCACGGCCCCGGCTCAGACTGGCGGCTCTGGGGCTGGTCTCACGAACGAGGCCGCAAGGCGAGGTCACTGCCTCTTCCCCGGTGCGTGACGCAATAGTCCATGGCGCAGCCAGTACCGACGGGCATCTCTGACTGGTGATCAGAGACACGCAAGGGGCATTCCCGGGGCTTAGCTGGGAGGCAAGGCCATCACTCCCGGTGAAAGACTGCTCCCACGGCCACCCCTGGGCGTTCTGCCCCTGATTTCAGTGGGGCCTGGTGTCCGCTCGCCGTGTCTGGGGGAACCAGGGCATTTCTCCGCACCGTCTCCGCCCCACTCCACGCCGAAGCAGAATGAAACCGTCTGGCTGCCACGCGGGTACCTGTGTTGTAGCCTCTGAACTGGTCAGGCCGATATTTGGCAGCCGGGGGCCTTCGGGTCAGATCGTCATTCCGGTAAAATCCATCCCCGCTGCAGAAGAGAGCAAACCCCTCCATCATCCTTCCTGGTCGGCACAGGGGTCCCCTTAGTCTGCACCTGCCCCGGCGAGTTCCCTCCCCTTCCCTGAACCCCCAGAACTCAACCCCCCTTGAAATAAAGCCGCCTCACAAGGGACCACATCGTACGCAGAGGCTCAATGGCTGCGCATCCCCAGCTCACAAAGAACAAGGCCAAGGCAGGGAAAACGGCCCGCTCTCCGGGAAGCAGCCGTGGTGGCGGGAGCTAGGAAGTGAAGGCCTTTGTCGGACGGGGGCAGGCAGCTAGTAAGGCGTCAGGGCGTGTGCAGAGGACTGCCGCCATTTTGGTTTCAGGCCTTTGGCAGCTCGTTTCTGAGGAGACGCACACACTGTGCTCTCCCCGCTGGGCGCGTTGGTGTTGGTCGGGTTGCACTGGCTGGGCTTCCTCTAGCCCAGGGCTTCCCAACGTGTGCTCCGTGGAGCACTGAGGCGCCACGTGCGGGGTCTGGGGCGCCGCAAGGCAGGACCGATGGCCGGCGTGTGACCCGGTTACTGTGCTACTCCCTTGCGAATGGTTTTCTTGAAAAAACAATTAGAGAAGAAATTGCGCTCGACTTCCACAGCTGAGTCTGTTTGCGGGGGTACCTACTGAATCACGCATCCGCACATTTCAAGGGCTCCATCCAACGTTCGGGAGCCGGTCGGGGCCCCGCGGCGGAAGACGTGTGGGAAACCCTGCGCTAGCCCCCGCGACGGGACGCTGGCGCTGCTCTTTGTGTGCGGCGCGACGGCAGGGAGTGACCCGGGTGAACGCCATTGGGAGCTGAACCCCGTGCTCCCCCGCGGGACCCAGGCCTGGGGGGCCTGGTGCAGGGCGGCAGGAAGGCTCAGCCCCCTCCCCTTCCCTGCAGTCCCCATGGCAGGGGGAGAAGCAGAGCAGGGCAGCCGCCATCAGCCGGTGGCTCTGCCTCCCCGCAGCTCCCGCCGACCTCTGCTGCCAGCCCAGCCCGCCAAGGACCCCGTGGGCTATCCTGAGTATGAGGGACCAGCCCATCCATAGGAGGTGGTTGCCATGGCACCCCCCAAAGCGCTAGGCCCAAACCATCCTATGGACAGGACAGCTCTGCCCACGCCGCCTCGGGGGCCACAGGGACACACCGGCAGCAGTGCGGGGCTAGCAGCTCCAGTGGTGCTGGGGTGCTACTGGTGGTGGTGGTGGGGACCCCAGGGGGCCTCATGCAGGGCAGGGGGACACAGGGGTGCACAGGCCAGCAGGCGAGGCCAGTAGAAGGCAGGGGAAATGCACACAGAGAGAGACCCCACTGCCTTCCCAGAGCCCTGCCGGAGGCGGGTGCCCACTGGCCCACAAGACAGATTTGAGGACTGGCCCTGAGGTAAATTGAGTTTGAGACCCCTGATCTACTCTGCCCCCCTCTGTGGCAAGGCCTGTACCTCTGCGCCCTGGCGCTGTTTGCTCAGGAAAACAGCCGCAAATGATTTCAAAGCGAGCCGTGACGGAGACTCCACCCTCACCCTTGGCAAACTGTTCCCGCGTTTCCTCAGTCTCGCCCTTACGAAAGGACGCCATGGCTTCCGTCTGGTTGTGTCTAGCTTCAAGTGCCAGGCACATAGTGAGCAGCAGCATGTCCCAGAGCCGGCCAGTGATGGCCCCTGGGGATTTTACTCTGCGGGGAGCTCAGCTGGAATATTTCCATCAGCTCGGTACCAGGAGGATGAAAGATTAAAGCCACAAGGTGCTGGGCAGCACGGTACCCGGCAGTGCTTGGGAAAGCATAGGGGCTGTCACTGGAACACGCCTGTCACTGTGTTCAACGCCACCCCTTGCTAAGAGTGTTCACACCGCACCTGGAATAGCCCATTAGCACATTGGTGGCGCCAAGCCTGGTGTAATCCCATTGCATGCCGCCATCTTGGTAAAGGATCAGGCCGTAGGACTTGACTCCGTCCGTGGTGAGGACAGCCTGGTAGGTGTTTGTCTAGGGAAACACAAGGTGCTCGGGTAAGGAACAAGATAAGAACATAAGAACGGCCGTACTGGGTCAGACCAAAGGTCCATCTAGCCCAGTATCCGGTCTGCCGACAGTGGCCAGCACCAGGTGCCCCAGAGAGGGTGGACTGAAGACAATGATCAAGCGATTTGTCTCCTGCCATCCTTCTCCAGCCTCTGACAAACAGAGGCCAAGGACACCACTTCTATCCCCTGGCTAATAGCCTTTTATGGACCTAACCTCCCTGAAATTGTCTAGCTTCTCTTTAAACTCTATGCTATGCTTTCATACAACACAAATGCCCGGGGTACCCATCACTGTTCAGGGAGGGACACCGCACAGCGGGGATCATCAGCGCTAACGAGATCTGTTGTGACCATGGAGTGTGTGATTCTGTGCAGCTCCCGGAGAGCTGGGCAGTAAGAAAACCAGAGACGGGAAGCAAAATCAGGTGGTGTGCTCAAAATGTGGGTCACAGGCCACCAGCATCCGTGCCCGCAAAGCAAACTCAGGCCCAAAACACTGTCCGCATTTTTTATTTTTGGTCAAAAATGTCTCGAGATTTTTTAGAGCCGAGCTTTTACCAGACGTGTTATCAAACCAACAGTGAAAAATATTCGTTTGTTGAAAATAAGCCAAGGCTCCAAGAACCACTCTGGGAAGGTTGCCTATGCCAATGTGCAAAAATACAAATAAAAAAATGTATGTAAAAAGATTGAAAAATCACCCAAAATGGACCTAGTTTAAAAAATCTGCATAAAAAAAAGTTAAAAAAACCTTGGTTCCCAAATATCAACATGTGATAGTTTTGGATCAGCTGTCTATGTAATTGATCGTGAAACAAATGTGAAGATTCTACTATTTAGGGGATCTCAGGGTATGTCTACACTACCCTCCTAGTTCGAACTAGGAGGGTAGTGTAGACATACCCTGAGAGAGAACTGAGAAACAGCCTCTTGTCAAACATGCAGACAGAATGACAGTGATGTTATCCCCTAGTATGCGTAAGATATTTTTTAAATCCTCAGTGCTTTGCCAGTTATAGCAACCTTTTTTGAAGATTACAATAGAATCCAGCAACCATGGGATAAAAACGTACGAGGTGTATCGGTAGTTTGGAATAGGAATCCTAGTCCGAACTACCTAGTTCGAGCCCCATGTAGCCGCGCTACACGGGGTTCGAACCAGCGGGGATTTAAAAATGGCAGCTCCCCGCTTATGCAAATGAAGCTCGGGAAATTCAAATTCCGGGCTTCATTTGCAAGTGCGGTATGCCTACATTACCCCGCTAATTCGAACTAGCGGGGTAGTGTAGACATACCCTCAGTGAAAAGTGGATGTAGGGGGCGTTAGCTAGCGACCTGCATAAGCCCTCTCTTGCTTAGGTCTCCTATTGCAGTCTCTGCATGGGGAGACTTTATCTTTGATAAAATGGTCAAGTGAAACTCTCTGCAATTAAATTTTCTCCCAACTAGCCCACACTAGTAACAATTGTGCGGGTTCCAAGTTCATGCCCACTCTAAGTTAATGAATTCAAGTTTGGCTGTCATTGGTTATCTGACCCCATCACTGTAGCATCTGAGCACTTCACAGTATTTCATGTAGATATTCTTCCATTTTGCAGATGGGAAACTGAGGCACAGAGAGACCGGGACTTGCCCCAGGCCACATGGGGCCTGTGCAGTCTCCTGAGTCCCAGGCTAGCACTCTAATCCCTGGATTGTCTTCCTTCCATAGACATTCCCCAAAACATTTGGAAATTGATCCAGACTACTCCAGAAGCAGACACAAAGCCGCTGCCGAGGCGTGACCGACACTGGGAGGCAGGGTTCCCTCCCATTTTTCCATCCATGTGCAGAATAAATTTTGTGATGTGCACTGACACGTGCACCACCACTAGAAACACATGCTGTGGGCCCTCTGCCAATCAACTGGGCAGCTTACAGGAAAGTGCTGAGTGGGCCATGTCATTGCGGGAGGAAGCCGCTTGGACAATGGCTTCCCGAAACCCAAGCGGCCACTTACCCGAGAGACAGGCTGCCGTGCGGGATAGGCCGGGGCCTTCTCCCAGGTGATCTTAAGGGTCCATTTTGCAGAGTACGACGTCTTCAGGTACCGGCGTATCTTGGCCTCCACGTCTCGGACAACGGGGTGCTCGGCAGAGTCGAGAGTGACAAACTCCTGTGGGTTGTGTCCACGTATTTACACCTCCGGGCGGGGACGTGCCGAGTGAGCGTGAGGCATGGGACGGTATCAAAGGAGATGGGAACCCCTCAGCTTCCTCAGGCACTCCTCCCGTTGACTAAGAATGTGAGACTCGGGGATGTGTCCCAGCACTGGGTCGCAGATGCCAGGCACTGGGTGGCCTGGCTGTCGAGTGACCAGGTGACCAGCAGGGGGGCTAAGGCAGCTGGCTCCTTGTCCAGGCCCTGCAGACCCTGCTGTGCCCCAGAAGCGGCTGGCAGCTGGTCCAGCTCCTAGGCAGGCTGGACGGGTTCCCTGCACGGCCTGGGCACCGGCTCTGGGGGCCAGTGCCGTGGGTGAAAGGAGTGCATGGAGCCACTTGGGCACCTCTGCCTAGGAGCCGCTCCTGCTGCCGGCCACTTCCAGGGCGCAGGGCCGCCCACGGTGCCAGGACAGGCTGGAAGCTGCCTTAGCACCCCTGCTGCATGGCTCCCCGGGGGCTGGCAGAGGAGAATCCAGGCCCAAACCCTAAGCACCAGCCCCCTGCCCCAGCCCTGCGCCTCTCCGAACCCAGAGCCCCTCCTACCCTCCAAACACCTCATCTCCGTCCCTCCCCAGAGCCTGCGCCCCCAGCCGG